TTGTTTTTTAAGATTTTATTTATTTATTTGAGAGACAGAGTTACCGTGAGAGGGAAAAAGAAAGAGAGAGAGAGAGAGAGAGAGAGAGGTCTTCCACCCGCTGGTTCACTCCCCAGGTGATCGCAATGGCTGGTGCTGAGCCAATCCGAAGCCAGGAACCAGGAGCTTCTTCCAGGTCTCCCACGTGGGCGCAGGGGCCCAAGCATATGGATCATCTTCTACTGCTTTCCCAGGCCATAGCAGACAGCTGAATTGGAAGTGGAGCAGCCAGGACTTGAACTGGCACCCATATGAGATGCCAGTGCCACAGGCAGAGGATTAACCTATTGCATCACAGAAAAGGCACCCCTTTTTAAATTTAATTTAATTTATTTTTTTAAACCGTCCTCTACAACTTTAAAATTGCTTCAAGTGCACAGGAGGAGTGAACTGGCTATCAGTGAGAGAGGTTCCGAGCGTGCCGTGCCTCGGGACAGCTTGAACCTTGGAAGCCAGAGGTGACTGAGGACAGCCAGTATGCTCATGTGGCATGCTGAAATCTTCGCTACCAGTGTCCTTGGGGAGCTTGAATCTGGAGTCTGTCCTAGCTGAAGCCTGTCCGTGACCCTGAGCTGCTGCCAAAGGCGTGTGTTGAAGGCCCTGGAAGCCCTTCGCTTGCCCGTGCCCTGCAGAGGGGGGCTTTGCTGGGAAGGCTCTTCCCGCAGGCTGTCAGCTGCTTTCCCTTGCTTTTGCCAGCTAAGGAACTCCTGCCATCTTCCTTGCTTGCAAGTGGCTCCATCCAACTTTTCCCATGACTTTGTGAAGGCCGTGGGGGCTGGGGAATAGCACGGTCCGGTGGGAGGGCGGTCACACAGCGCGGTGACTGCTCCTACGAAGTACCCTGTGAATTGCGTGCCTGTAATGCTGCTGCAGCTGTCCATCACTTTATTGGGCTTGAGTTCTGCACCCTTCTCTGGGCACCTGAGCTGCTGCTCCTGTGCCTCCAGAATCCTTAGTGTAGCACCATCTCACTGAAAAATGCAACTCCGGGCCGGCGCCGCGGCTCACCAGGCTAATCCTCCACCTTGCGGCGCCGGCACACCGGATTCTAGTCCTGGTTGGGGCGCCGGATTCTGTCCCGGTTGCCCCTCTTCCAGGCCAGCTCTCTGCTATGGCCAGGGAGTGCAGTGGAGGATGGCCCAGGTGCTTGGGCCCTGCACCCCATGGGAGACCAGGAAAAGCACCTGGATCCTGGCTCCTGCCATCGGATCAGCGCGCTGGCCGCGGTGGCCATTGGAGGGTGAACCAACGGCAAAGGAAGACCTTTCTCTCTGTCTCTCTCTCTCACTGTCCACTCTGCCTGTCAAAAAAAAAAAAAAAAAATGCAACTGCGAAACTAGATAGATACGACCCATCTCTTTCTAGGGAAAAACAGATTCCCAAAATAAGTACATAGAAACACAACGCATTCCTTTGTAGATCCTCAGTAGAGCAACAGTAAGTAATAGGATTAGAATGAAATTGTAGCAGTGTGCTGTTCACAGATAGAATTTGAAACAAATATAGGAATGGAAGATTACTATGCAATGAGATCATCATTCAGACGAGAGATTTGGCCTGCTTTCTTTGAACCTAGCAGTTCATATCAAGTACCTTGGCAGGCACATTTGTGGTTTTGGTTTCACCCTCGAAGGATACCTAGAAAACATTCTAGTAGCTAGGTTTGGGTTCTTCTGGCTCCACAAAACCAAGCCAGGTCCTTATGGTCATTAGTAGCAGTGCTTATGTAAGCATTGGATGTAAATTATGTCTAGAAAGTATCTGTGTTCACATAAAGGAAAAATCATATCAGACAAGAGAAATTGAATCACTCATCTAAATTCTACTTCAAAAATAAGATCATTTTATTTGTCTAAAATAGTTATGTCAGGGGCCGGTGCTGTGGTACATTGGGTAAAGCTGCTGCCTAAGATGCCAGCATCCCGTATCGGAGTGTACGGATGGAATCTGGCTTCAGCTTGGCCCAGCTCTGGCTGTTAAGGCCATCTGGGGAGTAAGCCAATGATGGAATATGTCTTTCTCTGTCTTTCCCTCTGTCACTCTGCCTTTCAAATCAGTAAGATAAGTCTTTAAAAAGTAAATTTAAATGTTATGTAAGTAATAAATGAATCTATATCCATTATAAGAAGTATGGTGTAAATTGAATTTTCCTCTCTCAGAGACAATACTTGACTATGCAGAGTCCAGCCAGACTCTATTTAAATATAATGCCCGTATGTAAATACAAAGCTGCTGATGGAGAGCTATTGCTTTGCAACTTTCTTTTTCTCTAATGGTACTTGTTGTGTCTCAGAACGCATTCTGTCACAGTACATAAAAACCCGCCTTCTCCTTTCAAATGGGTATAGACTCATTCTACAGTAATTTATTTAATACTTCACCTCCTGGGGGATACTCAGTGCTGCCAGTGATTTATTATGACAGTGCTTCGGGGCGCCTCCTTGTGCTCTCACAAGAGCAGCACATGTGACTTTCTGTAGGTTACATCCCTGAAAGTAAAATCCCTGCACCAAACAGGGTGTGCTTGCTAACACTGGTTATCGTCAGTCTGCGGACTTGTCACCTGTCTGATCATCTGATAGACGCAAGATAGATGTTTTATGACTTAGATGATCTTTTTTTTTTTTTTTTTTTGACAGGCAGAGTGGACAGTGAGAGAGAAAGGTCTTCCTTTGCCGTTGGTTCACCCTCCAATGGCTGCCGCTGCAGCCGGCGCACCGCGCTGATCCGATGGCAGGAGCCAGGATCCAGGTGCTTTTCCTGGTCTCCCATGGGGTGCAGGGCCCAAGCACCTGGGCCATCCTCCACTGCACTCCCTGGCCATAGCAGAGAGCTGGCCTGGAAGAGGGGCAACCGGGACAGAATCCGGCGCCCCGACCGGGACTAGAACCCGGTGTGCCGGCGCCACAAGGTGGAGGATGACTTAGATGATCTTTTATCTTTAAGATGTGGCTGGCTACTGAGGTTTCTTTTTGCTTTGGTTTGGTTTTGTTTCAGAGGTGGAAAGAGGGAATCTCCCTTCCCCGGGTTCACCCCCTAAATCCCCACAACAGCTGGGACTGGACGAGGCCAAAGCTAGGAGCCCAGAACTCAATCCAGGTCTCCTGTGTGGGTGACAGGGACCCTGGTGCCTACACCATCATCTACTGCTTCCAAGGGAGCACATTTAACAGGAAGCTGGATGGGAACTCAGACCAGGCACTCTGGTATGGGATGCGGGCATCCCAGATAGTGACTTAACTGCTGTGCCGAACGCCTGCCCCATAAAGCAGCTCTTTTAAAAAAAAAAAAAATTTTTATTTATTTATTTATTTATTTGAAAGGCAGAGTTATAGAGAGAAGGAGAGACAGAAAGAGAGAGAGATTCTACCCACTGGTTCACTCTCCAAATAGCCGCAGTGGCGGGAGCTGGGCTGATCTGAAGCCAAGAACCAGGAGCTTCTTCCAAGTCTCCCACACGGGTGCAGGGGCCCAAGCACTTGGCCATCTGCTGCTTTCTCAGGCTGTAAGCAGAGAGCTAGATTGGAAGAGGAGTAGCCAGGAAGCCAGGACCAACACCCATACAGGATGCTAGCGCCGCAGGCAGAGGCTTAGCCCACTACGCCACAACGCCGGCCCTGTAAAGCAGCTCTTTTTTTTTTTTTTTTTTTTTGACAAGGCAGAGTGGACAGTGAGAGAGAGAAACAGAGAGAAAGGTCTTCAAGGTCTTCCTTTTGCCGTTGGTTCACCCTCCAATGGCCGCTGCAGCTGGCACACTGCGGCCGGTGCATTGCGCCGATCCGAAGCCAGGAGCCAGGTGCTTTTCCTGGTTTCCCATGCGGGTGCAGGGCCCAAGTACTTGGGCCATCCTCCACTGCACTTCCCTGGCCACAGCAGAGAGCTGGCCTGGAAGAGCGGCAACCGGGACAGAATCCGGCGCCCCGACCGGGACTAGAACCCAGTGTGCCGGTGCCGCAAGGCAGAGGATTAGCCTAGTGAGCCACAGCGCCGGCCAAAGCAGCTCTTTTTTAAAAGAAATTTTAGGAAGGGGTCAATATCAACAGATGTACAAAAAACTGCTTGAGTAAAGGTGTGCATTGCAACTTATTAAGTTCGTAAGGGCCCTTGGGTAGCATTTCTCTCTAACTTTACCATTGTGAAGAGTTATTTTCCTAAGTATCTGGTAATTTTTTATTTGATGATATTTGATAAAATCTTACAACAACCCATGCTTTCTGTGTGTACTGACTGAAAAGGCTGAGAGTCATGTTTGTGACCTGCCTTGGGGACTGCCTGAGACTTCATAGCATGGATGACTCCCACCGCTTTGGCCCTGTCGCATGATGTAGGTTTCCAGTAGTTTTGTCAAAGGGGACACCTCAGGTATTTCACTCACATGCTCCGTAGTACATTTCACAGAAATTCTTGATGAGCTAGCAGCTTAAAAGATCTGATTGCCTTTCTCTACCTCATCATGTAAGGAAAATAGTGTTCTGATTTTTTGCAACCTGTAATAGAAGTAACTGGGTGACTTAGAACTCAAGAAAATCTCCGGGGCCGGCGCTGTGGCTCACTTGGCTAATCCTCCGCTTGTGGCTCCGGCACCCTATATGGGCGCCAGTTCTAGTCCCGGTTGCTCCTCTTCCAGTCCAGCTCTCTGCTGTGGCCCGGGAGTGCAGTGGAGGATGGCCCAGGTGCTTGGGCCCTGCACCCGCATGAGAGACCAGGAGGAAGCACCTGGCTCCTGGCTTCGGATCGGCACAGCGCTGGCCGTGGCGGCCATTAGGGGGTGAACCAACGGAAGGAAAACCTTTCCATCTCTCTCTTTCTCTCACTGTTGGTAACTCTATCTGTCAAATAAAATAAAGAAAAAGAAAGAAAATCTCCTTTCTTGGTGCAGCGGGTTTATTTCCTGCAAGTTTGCTTGATGATTTGAGTGTAACATTCTTAACATATGGTTTTTTTCTGTTTTTCTCCCCCAGGTGAATGTCGGATGTGTACCCAAAAAGGTAGAATTTTTATTTTTCTTTCCTTCCACATTCCTTTTTCTTATTTGGTAAACTGTTCAGAATAAGAATGTTTACAAATGTATTAGTTAAAAGTTGTTCTGCACAAAATAGCCGAGAATCCATCTAATAGTGGCTTACGCAATAGGGTTGGTTTTCTTTGTGGTTGTTAATATCACCTGCTAAGAATCTTGAAGACAGGCAGTTCCTGAGAAAGGCGTAGCTCCCAAGGATATCTGAAAGGGCCCCAGCCTTGTCCTGCTCTCCGTTCTGCTGTCCCTGGTGTATAATTAACAGTAAAGCCGCCACATGGCCACCGATGGCCCCAGGAGCTCCAGGTAGGATGGTCTCACCCTGCAGTGGCCGCAGAGGGCTTTAGATCCTCCTGGCTCGGATTGAGCTGTTCCGGCAGGAGAGACTGGATACAGGAGCGGGTGACATTTTCAGTCAGGAAGAAGGGGAAGGCGGGGTTGCTGGGGCAATAAGCACAGTGATGTTAGCTCCTGGGCATTCACTGCATCCCATGTGCCAAAGAAATTCACCCTGTACATTCACTATGCAGTGAGCTCTCCCAGTAGGCACTGTGCAGAGGTCAACCAGGTATGGAACGCTGTGGTCTGAAGCTGCTGATGGCCTAGCAGGAGCAGGGACCACAGAATGCCCATTCCTGGCGTGAGAGAGGAGCACCATCCATCTACTCAGGCAGGGCCAGCAGCAAGTAAAGTTTCTAGCCCAGGCCCAGCAAGTGAATGATGCAGTGGGTGGATGCTCCTCCCTCGGGTGGCTCTGGTTAAAGGTGGGCAGCTTGGGTGACTTTGCAGCTGTCGTGTGTGCGTGTGTGTGTGTGTGTGCGCGGGGGGTGTGAGTGTGATGGTGTCTGCTTCTTTACCTGCGTATGTGTGTGATGCTATCTGCTCCTTCACCTGCGTGTGGGTGTTTGTGGGGGGTGTGTGTGTGTGCATGTGGGTGTGTGATGCTATCCATTCCTTCACCTGCGTGTGTGTGAGTGTGTGGGTGCATGTGTATGTGATGCTATCTGCTCCTTCACTTGAGTGTGGGTTTGTGTGTGTGTGTGCATGGGGGGGTATGAGTGTGATGGTGTCTGCTTCTTTACCTGCGTATGTGTGTGATGCTATCTCCTTCACCTGCGTGTGGGTGTGTGTGTGGTGTGTGGGTATGTGGGTGTGTGTGTGTGCATGTGTGTGTGTGTGATGCTATCCATTCCTTCACCTGCGTGTGAGTGTGTGTGATGCTATCTGCTCCTTCAGCTGCGGGCGTGTGTGCATGTGTGTGGGTGCGTGTGCTGCTATCTGCTCCTTCACCTGCTTGTGGGTGCGTGTGTGGGGTGTGTGTGTGTGTGCTGCTCTCTGCTCCTTCACCTGTGCGTGTGTGTGTGCGCGTGTGTGTGTGCTTGCGTGTGTGTGCTGCTCTCTGCTCCTTCACCTGTGCGTGTGTGTGTGTGTGATGCTATCTGCTCCTTCACCTGCTCCGGTGGAGTTCTGAGTTTTCCCAAGGACACTGGAACTGCTAGAACTATCTTTGCTGGAAGGAGGCGTCAGGATTGTGGTGGGTTCCTTGTTTTATTTGTTAGTGGTAGTTCTTGGTTTGAAACACAGAGGTGTATTCCCCTAGAAATCGCTCATTTAGCGCCGTGTGTTGTGTGGCTTTAGGTGCCTTGTGGGCGTGCTACAGCCGTGTTTCTCAGGTTGCTTGGATGGCATTTCTAGGCATAGTGTCTGGGGACTTTGGTGGAAATAGTGCCCATCTTTGCTGTTCCAGCAGGCGCGGTTTCTGGGGTGACCTGACACCGCAGTGAATCGTATGTCAGACTGGCCCGTCCATTCGCTAGTGTGCAGAGTGAAGTTACGTCTGTACTTCACTCAGATTGGTCGTTTATATCACAACAGTGAGACCCAGCCAGAAAACCAAGTTATTGAATGGGCTCTTCTAAAGTATTCCCCCCTAGGTCCTGTAGTTTCATGGATTCTCCTTACCCCGTTAGTGGTTTTGTTGGTCCTAATGTCAGTGATGAGTGCCACATTGAATGAACTCCTGTACCCTTTACAAAGAGGGAGAACAGCAGCTCTCATTTCTTCCATTTTTTTTTTATATATTTTAAAGATTTGTTTATTTATTTGAAAGGCAGACTTACACAGAGAGGCCTTGCATCCACTAGTTCACACCCCAGATGGCCACAATGACTGGAGCTGTGCCGATCTGAGGCCGGGAACCAGGAGCTTTTTCCTGGTCTCCCACGCGGGTGCAGGGGCCCAAAGACTTGGGCCATCTTCCACTGCTTTCCCAGGCCATAGCAGAAAGCTGGATCAGAAGTAGAGCAGCCGGGAGTCAAACTGGTGCCTGTATGGGATGCTCCTGCTGCAGGCGGCGACTTTATCCACTAAGTCACAGTGCCGGCCCTGTCAGCTCTCATTTCTGACGCTGCCTCTTGCTTACAGTTGCAAATCATTTTATGCTTCATGCGAATGTATTTTCAAATGTGTGATCCCAAGTTCACAGCCTTTTGCTACTGAGATGACATTTTATATTGGCAAGCTCAACAGTGACCTACACTAATTTCAGGAAGGTTTTCTGAAATCTGTTTCCTGCTTTAGGTAGATTTTTTTTTTCCTGTTTTAGGAAACTTTTTCTTTGGGAAGTTTTTCTTCAATTATCGGCTTTCCTTTTAGTCCTAAGTTTTGGAATCTGTTTTCCTTGGGGTCGTGCAGTAGCGAATATATGACATAAATTAGTTATAAGGTGGTTATGTTGTTTAAACCAATAATGCTAGTCAATTCAATGTTGGTTGGTACTGCCTCGTTTTTAAAAACTCCACAGGGAAAAGAGTGGGCTGAAACTTGAGTCTGTGATATTTTTGTTCCCCTACGTAGAAGGAAAACATGTAGTGTGGAAATGCTCTGCAGAGGTTTCAGAATTTTTCCTCGAACTCTTTGCAGTCCCCTTGTATTGCATTTCACCCACGCCTTCTGGTCACAGGTGCAGACATCTATCCCACGTTATCCTGGGGCTCTCCTGGCTTCAAAGTGCTTTTGCATTGCTGAGGACGGGTTGGTAACTGCCTCTTGTTGTGTAGAGTAGACTGAAGCCCAGAGTAACACCCCTGGCAGAGGACTGGAGTGAAGGAAGCAGAGGGTGGAACTGCGTGGCCCCTTCCACCTGGATTGAGTCCGAGCTTAAAAACCCCGTGAAGTTCATGTTAGAGGCACCCCCTCCACAGGGTGTGTGTCACACGTGATAGGAATTAGGAATAAGTAAACGTGGGGCTCCAGGGTGATGGGTCTGTTCATGTGACAGTCTGTGGTATTGGTGAATCTTTCATATGCATTATGGTAGAGAATTTAGCAAGTAGAGTGGTTGATTGTATGGTACATGAGTTTCATCTTGAATGAATTAAAATCCAACAAGAGAGCCATCAGTTTATACACCGAGGCATAAAGAGGGAAAAGAGCAAAGAAGCCATCTAAGCCTTGTCCAAAACAGAGTCTAAAGCTTGTTTGACAAAGAAAAGCGGGGCTTTGTCATTGGGAGTTCTAGATGGTGATTTGAATGCAATTGTCTTGATCGGTTGGCACAGCAGGCTTGGGGGCGGGGGGGGGGGGGTAGGCTATGTTCCACAAGAGAAGCATCAACTCTCTGAGTTCCACATGACTAATACATACACCCTTAGAAAGGCCTGTTCGCAGTGGCCAAACACACAGTAGGAGTTTATTCTGTTAACGTTTTTGGTCCAACTTTATCTAATAGCTTCTTTCTTTTTTTTTCTTCTTTTTTTTATATATATTTTATTTTATTTAATGAACATAAATTTCCAAAGTACAGCTTATGGATTACAATAGCTCCCCCCCATAACTTCCCTCCCACCCATAACACTCCCCTCTCCCACTCCCTCTCCCCTTCCATTCACATCAAGATTAATTTTCAATTATCTTTATATAGAGAAGATCAATTTAGCATAAATTAAGTAAAGATTTCAACAGTTTGCACCCACACAGAAACACAAAGTGTAAAATACTGTTTCAGTACTAGTTATAGCATTAATTAAACACCTAAGAGTAATTGTGTATTAATTACAGAGTTCAACCAATAGTTTTAAGTAGAACATAAAAAATACTAAAAGGGTAAAGTATTAAGTTCTTTTTTTGTTTGTTATATAGTTTTTTTTTATTTAATAAATGTGAATTTACAAAGTGCAACTTTTGTATTGTTGTGGTTCCCCCCTCACCTCCCTCCCTCCCGCGGCCCTCCCCTCTCCCACTCCCTCTCCCATCCCGCCCTTCATTGAGTTTCATTTTCAATTACCTTCATACACTGAAGATCAACTTAGTATATACTAAGCAAGGATTTCAACAGGCTGTACTCACACAACCGCACAAGGTATAGGGTATTGTTCGACTAGTAGTGTTGTTTTTAAGTTTCATAGTAAAACACATTAAGGACAGAGATCCTACGTGGGGAGCATGTACCCAGTGACTCCCGTTGTTGATTTAACAATTGGCACTCTTATTTATGATGTCAGCAATCACCCGAGACTCTTGCTATGAGCTGTCTAGGCTAATGGAAGCCCCTTGAGTTCACCGACTCTGAACTTGTTTAGTCAAGGCCGTATCACAATGGAGGTTCCTTCCTCCCTTCAGAGAAAGGCGCCTCTCTCCTTGATGGCCTGTTCCTTCTGTAATAGCTTCTTCTAAGAAAGCTTGCTGTAAAGTGGCCAGTGCTATTCCATTTCATGCGCTTAAAGAAATCCAAAACTTAAAGAATCAGATGACACTATGGTAGGAGTCATTTCCCGCAGCATTTTGGAAGCCCCGTTGTAATGTCTGCTTGGTCATGTTTCTGGTCGTCTGTGAATGTGTTTGGTTTGGGCTTTCCATTCAAGGTCCGTCTTGTAGTCCACAGTTGTATGTAATCAGTGGTGTCTGTCTTCACTCGGGGTCATGCGCCGCTGTTTTGGCTGCTTTTCCTGCAGGTGATGTGGAACACGGCCATGCACTCCGAGTTCATGCACGATCACGTTGACTATGGCTTTCAGAGCTGTGAGGGTAAATTCAACTGGCGGTAAGTGTTGATGCAAATGTAAATCTTCTTCTTTGATAACTAAGTAAGCCGTATGCTTTTCTGGGAGAGAGGAGGAGGTGTATTAGTGTTTAAAATGTTATCTGTTACCTGGGTGCCTTCCACCTCTTTAACTGTTGTGAATAGGGCTGCTTTGAACATCCGCACACATGGGTGCCTGCGTCTGGTTCTGGATCTGTACTTGGGGTTGGGATTGCTTCACATGACAGACAGCTGTGCATTTAACTTTTTAGGGAGCTGCCATAAGCTTTTTGAAGCTTTCAGTTTTTCAAAATATTATAGAAAATTCCTTCATTTATTCCACAAGTATTTGTTGAGTAGACGCTGTGTACTAAACATTATGCCAAAGCAGCTCTCCTGTTTCCTGTGCCGAATGAGTTTTATGTGCCACGGCTATCATCTGAGAGCTCTCCCCGAGTGCACTAAGGGTTTGCAGCACGTGGAATGGCAGGTGGATACCAGGGACAGGATGATGGTCTTCGGAGACAGGCCCTTGGCTTGCTCCGTTCCCGCGGGCGGTCTGTGATGCTAAGCTCAGCGGTGTTCGGGATCAAATGCCCTCGTTACTAACTGAAAGAGGAAAACTGTTTCTGGGTACTGACTCTGGTTTCCTTGCAGTGTTATAAAGGAAAAACGGGACGCCTACGTGAGTCGCCTGAATACCATCTATCAGAACAACCTGACCAAGGTACGTGGGTGCTGGGATTTGAACTTTGAGAAGGCGCCGTTGACTGCTGGAATACACGACTACAGAACTGTAGCCTTTGGATATACCTCTTGTTGCTTTCTGTTGTTTTGATTGTGGTTAATGATTATGCAGAAGCCTCTGCTGTCATAGGCCAGTCTCATTTTCTGCAGAGTAAGCCGTGTGCATCAAAGTCCACAGGCCAGGTCTTACCTGACAGCTGCTGCTTCTGGCGTCAAACACTGAAAACTGGACTATGCACCTGAGTGCCAGTTTGTTGTTTAAAATCAGGAGCCCGGGGAGAGGACGTTTGGCCTAACAGTTAAGACACCCACATCCTACCTCGGAGTGCCTGGTTTGATACCCAGCCTTGCTACCTGATGCCAGCTTCCTGCTAAGGGGCACCCCGGGAGACAGTGACGAGGGCTCAAGTAATGGCGTTCCTGCTTCTCACATGGGAGACCCAGATTGAGTTCCTGGCTCGGCATTCATTTGCTCAGAACAGCCTCATGCCTGGTGGCCAGATCTGTTCAGGGAGAGCAAATCATGATACAGAAGGTTGTTGCTGTGAATGAAATCCAGCCAAGAACAGCGCCGGTTTGAGTCCAGGCTGCTCCTCTTCCGATCCAGCTCTCTGCCATGGCCTGGGAAAGCAGTAGAAGATGGCCCAAGTCCTTGGGTCCCTGCACCCACATGGGAGACCTGGAAGAAGCTCCTGGCTCCTGGCTTCGGATTAGCGTAGCTCCGACGATTGCAGGCATCTGGGGAGTGAACCAACAGATGGAAGACCTCTCTCTCTCTGTGTAATTCTGACTTTCAAATAAATAAATTAATGGTTTTTAAGATTTATTTATTTTATTTGAAAGAGTTACAGAGAGAAAGAGACAGAGACAGAGAGACAGAGAGAGAGAGAGAGAGAGAGATCTTGCAACCACTAGTTCATTCTCCACATTAAATTGCCGCAAAGGCCAGAGCTGGGCCAGGCCAAAGCCAGGAGCCAGGAGCTTCCTTCAGATCTCCCATGTGGGTGCAGGGGCCCAAACACTCAGGCTGTCTTTCACTAATTCCCAGGCACATAGCAGGGAGCTGGATTGGAAGTGGAGTAGCCAGGACTCAAATTGGTGCCATATGGGATGCCAGCACTGCAAACAGTGGCTTAACCCGCTAAACCCCACAGCGCGGGCCCCATGTACTTGTATCTTGATTCTCACCATTCATTGGATTGGTGTTGGGAGGTTGTTTTCTGATTCTAAACCTTTATTTAGGAGGAAAACTTTAGGGGTCTATAATGCTGCGTGTACTGAGGATAAGAGAGTTTAAGGCTTCCACACATGCCTGTAAGATATACCACCCAGTGGGGGCTGGCGCTGCAGCGTAGCAGGTAAAGCCGCCACCTGGGACACTGGCATCCCATATGGGCGCTGATTTGAGTCCCAGTCGCTCCCCTTCTGATCCTGCTCCCTGTAATGTGCCTGGAAGAGCACTGCAAGTTAGCCCAAGTGCTTGGGCCTTTGCCCCTACACATTGAGACCTGGATGAAGCTCCTGGCCTCAGCCTGGCCCAGTGCTGGCCATTGCAGCCATCTGGGGAGTGAACCAGCAGATGGAAGACCTCTCTCTCTCTCTCTCTCTGCCTCTGCCTCTCTGTAACTCTGCCTTTCAAATAAGTAAATAAATCTTTTTTTTTCTAAATCTTAAAAAGAGATACCACTCAGTATACTAAAGTTCCCACATCAGTTTTCTTCTTAATGGAGTTGCCAGCTAAAATACTTTTGTAAAAGAAAATTACTCAGGATTGGCTTTTTTTTTTTTTCCCAAAAGATTTATTTGAAAGGCAGAGTTGGAGAGAGAGAGAGAGAGATCGTCCATCTGCTGGTCTGTTCCCCAAATGACTGCGATGGCCAGTGTTCATGCAGGCCAAAGCCAGTAGCCTAGGACTCCATCTGGGTCTCCCCTGCGGGTGCGGGGCTGAAACACTTGAGCCATCCTCCACTGCTTTCCAGGCACAGTAGCAGGGAGCTGGATTGGAAGTGGAGCAGCTGCGACCCGCCGGCACTGCAGGTGGCGGCTTTACCTGCTACTCTACAGCACCGGCCCCAGAGAGGTCTTCCATCCACTGGTTCATTCCCAGGTGGCTGCAGCAGCTGCAGCTGGGCCAGGAGCTTCTTCCAGGCCTCCACCGTGGATGCAAGGGCCCAAAGACTTGGGCCATCTTCTGCTGCTTTCCCAGGCCATTAGCAGGGAGCTGGATCGGAAGTGGAGCAGCCAGGACTTGAACCAGCGCCCATATGGGATGATGGCATTTCAGGCAGAGGCTTTTAACCTCCTATGCCACAGCGCCGGTCCTGGAAGGGAACTTTTGTACCTGCTGTTCTGAGAACTAAAAATAAAAATTCCATCATTTTCCCCTCCTGTCTTCTGTCCCGTCAGCACTCTGCGCACAACTCCTTTCATGTAGCAGCGCACAGGAAACTGTGACCTCCTGAAGCAAGGTTGTTGCAGAGGCTTGCGGCATTGATCCTGACTCAGCTCGATTAAGCCGGGCACCTGCAGGAACAGGCCCAAGGGGTGGTTGGGAAGGAGAGAGAACTCAATTTAGAATCAAGCATGTTCTGAGACATTAAAACATTCTATCCTGCAGTGCTGCTCACGTGGTTCCATTATCCTGGTACGCTCTCTGTGTTGGCGTGCCAGTGCGTGTGTCTGGGCTGGCAGGCACCTGCCAGCAGGCTCCCAAGCTGAGGTCCTGGTACAGAGGATGCTGGTTAGAGCAGACCAAAATCTGAGTTCTTCATCTATCAGAATTCAATGTCATGTAATCTCGTGATACTCTTCCCATTGTGGCTATGAGAACACAAGCCAGGCATCTTCCTCCCTCAGCCTGAGTATCTCTCTTTTGCCTCAATGTTTTTAGTTAAAAAAATAATTTTTAGGGCCAGTGCTGTGGTGCAACAGGTTAAAGCCCCGGCCTGTAGCACCAGCATCCCATATGGGTGCTGGTTCGAGTCCCAGCTGCTCCATTTCTGATCCAACTCCCCGCTAATGTGCCTGGGAAAGCAGTGGAGGATGGCCCAAGCGCTTGGGTCCCTGTACCTACTTGGGAGACCCAGAAGAAGCCCCTGGCTCCTGGCTTCGGATTGGCTCAGCTCCAGCTGTTGAGGCCATTTGGGAAGTTAAAGAGCAGATGGAAGACCTCTTTTTATCTCTCTATGTCTCTGCCTCTCTCTGTAACTCTGTCTTTCAAATAAATAAAACGAATTTTTTTAAAAAAGTATTTTTTCCAGAGATTTATTTGAATGGCAGAGTTACAGAGACAGAGAGGGAAAGAGAGAGAAAGAGATCCTCCATCCGCTGGTTAGCTCCCCAAATAGCCACAGCAGCCAGGGCTTTACTAGGCCAAAGCCAGGAGTCTTTAACTCCATCTGAGTCTCCCACATGGGTGTCAGGGACCCAAGAACTCAGGTCGTCTCCACTTCTTTCCCAGGCACATTAGCAGGGAGCTGAATCAGCAGTGGAGAAGCCGGGACTCGAACCAGCACTCCTCTGGGATTCCTGTGTTTCAGACAGTGATTAACCTGCTAGGCCATGATGCCAGCCCCTGTTTATTTATTTGAGAGGCAGACAGCTTGTTTCCATCTGCTGCTTCACTTTCTATATGCCTGTAACGGTCCCCAGGGTCCCAAGCCAGGGTCTGCGCACTCACTCCAGGTCTTCCATGTCCACAACGGGAACCCAGTCACTGGGGCCGTCCCTGCTGTTTCCTAGGGTCTGAATGAGCAGGAAGCGGGAATGAGGAGTGGAGTCGGGGCACTGTGAGATGCATGCATCTTCGCTGGTGTCTTCCCCTCCAGAGCCACGCTGTCGTGTCTGTCTCAGCCTTGGGCCCCTCCTCCAGATGCGTCGTTCTCCAAGCTGCTGTCACTGCAGGTGTGGAAAACTCCTTCCCTCACCTCTTGTGTCAACGATGTCATCTTTTTCTCCTTGTCCTAGTGACTTGCATATATATTTTTGGTCTCACTTTTGTCCCAAAGTAGCACCTTGATCTCTCACCGTGTACGTCCAGCATCTTATAGTAACCCCAAGCTAAGTATCAGTTACCAGTCAAGAGTTCTGCAGGAGCTCAGACCACAGAACCTACCAATCAGAAGTCAGTAGAGGTGTTGAGGACCGGCGTTGTGGCACAGTGGGTTAGCACACTGGCTGTTCTGCTTCTGATCCAGCTCCCTGCTGATGCACCGGGGAAGGCAGCCAAGGGTGGTCCCAGTACTTGTCCACGCCATCGCTGTGGGAGACCTGGAGAGTGTTCTAGGCTCCTGGCTTCTGTTTGACCCAGCCTTGGCCATTGCAGCCACTTGGGGATGGACCAGAGGATGGAAGGTCTCTTTCTGTGTCTTTCCCTCTCTGTCTCTTTGCTTTTCAAATAAATAAAAAAAAAATTTTTAATCGCTGCTGGAGAAATGTGTGCTGAGTTGCTGCAGGTGTCTTTAAGAACAAGCTAATGCTGTCCTGGTTCCTTCTCCAGTCCCATATAGATATCATCCATGGCTACGCAGCCTTCACCAGTGATCCAGAACCCACGGTAGAGGTCAATGGAAACAAATACACTGCTCCTCACATCCTGATTGCCACGGGCGGTGTGCCCTCACGTCCTCACGAGAGCCAGATCCCTGGTGAGTCCCCCAAAGGCAGCAGAATGCTTGTCAGTGGCTGTCAGGAAGTTCACTGATGCTTTCAATCATGTGATGACGTCTGCCTGCTCCGCTTCTCCCTCGTGAGAAAGGCCACGGCAGAAGGGCTCCGTGGAGCCTCGCTGTGGGTGGCCAGTGCTGGCTGGTGATGGGGCGAGAAAGGTGTTCCCGCCAGCCCCAGGCTCAGACGTAGTGCGGGTACTGGGGAGAAAAAGCAGTTAGGTCCTCCAGCCTTCCTCAGCCTGCTAGAGATGGTTTCTGGCTTCAGGTCACAGGTGGATGGTTTTTTGAAAGAATTATACTATGTTTACTGTTTGTTTAAGGAAAAGAAATTTGGTAAGTATGTAGCTTCATTAGCTGGGCTGGTAAGCCTTCCTTATATGCATTTTTTATAAAGAATTTTAATATATTTTTGATATTCCACAAGGGTATTATACATTTTATTTATTTATTTTTTAATTTTTGACAGTCAGAGTGGACAGTGAGAGAGAGAGAGACAGAGAGAAAGGTCTTCCTTTTGCCGTTGGTTCACCCTCCAATGGCCGCCGGGGCTAGCACGCTGCGGCCGGCGCACCGCACTGATCCGAAGGCAGGAGCCAGGTGCTTCTCCTGGTCTCCCATGCGGGTGCAGGGCCCAAGCACTTGGGCCATCCTCCACTGCACTCCCGGGCCACAGCAGAGAGCTGGCCTGGAAGAGGGGCAACCAGGACAGAATCTGGCGCCCCAACTGGAACTAGAACCCAGGCTAGGGTGTTAATCCACTGTGCCACAGTGCCGGCCCCCACCTGTTGAAATTTTTAACATACACAATTTTTTTTAAAGATTTATTTATTTATTTGAAAGGCAGAGTTACACACAAAGAGAGAAAGGTCTTTCATCTGCTGAGTCACTCCCCAAATGGCTGCAGCAGCCAGAGCTGGGCTGATCCAAAGCCAGGAGCCAGGAGCTTATTCTGGGTCTCCCACATGGGTGCAGGGGCCCAAGGACTTGGGCCATCTTCCATTGCTTTCCCAGGCCATAGCAGGGAGCTGGATCGGAAGAGGAGCAGCAGGGATTTGAACTGGTGCCCATATGGGATGCTGGCACTGCAGGCAGCAGCTTTACCTGCTACGCCACAGCACCAGCCTCATACACAATTATTTTTAAGACAAATGGAAAAATTCTAAATGTCCTATAGCAATCATTTCACAGAGTTGAGAGTCTGAGAGGTGGACGAATGGCTGGGGGCTGGTATGATTCAGAAAGACTTGCCTTGAAAGGGCTCAGAAATTGAGCATGGTGTGTGGAGGAGAGCCGGACGTGGGAGCCAGCGGGCGTTAAAGCTGTCCTGGAAGGACCTCCGGTCAGTCCAGCTGGCTTCCTAGCACTGACGTTCTTGAGGTAAATACTTTGACCTGAGACTGGTCCTGTGTCAGGGCCCAATTGTGGAGCCCAAAGAATCTCTAAACTCAGGGCAACTGTGCCAAGTAAGTCTTGGTTTATAAATAGAGCAGTGACAAGATCTAAGGGATAATTTTAGGACCTAGTTTGACAGTGACTGCAAAGGGGAGAACACAGAAGTTGGAGCCCTGTTGGAAAGCTGCCACGGTTGTCTGTGCATGCAGTCGTGAGATGGTTCTGAGTTCAGATTTGCACCGGAAATGTGATGGACAAATCTCAGTTCAGTTCTGCAGCAGCCGCTGAGCCCCTGCTGCAATGCCGGGCACTGCACGCCAGGCCCAAAACACAGATCAGACTCATCACTGATGCCAAGACACATGGGATCAGTTTATTTATTAGATTTATTCATTTGAAAGAGTACTAGAGGGAGAGAGAGAGATCTTCCATCCACTGATTCACTCTAAATGGCTGCAACAACCATGGCTGGGCCAGGCCGAAAGTGGGAGCCTGGAGCTGCAGCTGGGTCTCCCACGTGGGTAGCAGGGACCGAACTACTCGAAGAATTACCTGCTGCCTCCCAGGGTGCACAGTAGTAGGAAGCTGGAATTGGGAGCCAGAATCTGAACCTCGACACTCTGACAAATGATCCTGGCATCCCAAGTGGCTTCTTAGCCTCTCTGCCAAGTGCGTATTCCACAGGCAGGCTGGGAGTCAAGATGCTGCACCCCGTGTCAGAGTGCATGGGTTTGGTGCCTAACTCCAGCTTCCTGCTGCTTGTAACTCTGAGGGGCAGGGGTGATGGACGGCTCAAGTGATTGGGTCCCTGCCACCCACGGGGGAGACCTGGATTAAGCTCTTGGTAGCCTCACCCATTGTTGGCATTTGGGGAGTGAACCAGAGACTGGGTGCTTGCTCTGTGCTGTCCCCCTCTGTCTAGTAATTTCCTGTGGTTTTTGTTTTGTTTTGTTTTGGATTGATTTATTTGAAAGCCAGAGACACAGAAAGAGCAGGGAGAGACAGAAAGAGATCCTGTGTGTGCTGGTTCACTCCCCAAATGGTCACTGTGGCCAGAGTTAGGCCAGGCTGAAGCCAGGAGCTTCTTCCAGGTCTCCCACATGGGTGCAGGGGCCCAAGCACTTGGGCCATCTTCCATTGCTTTCCCAGGAGCATTAGCAGGGAACTGGATCAGAAGTGGAGCAGCCAGGACTTGAACTGGTGCCTATATTGGATACCGTCGTCACAGGCAACAGTTTAACCTGCTATGCCACAATGCCAGCCCCTTAAATAATTTTCTAAAAATTGTATAAAATTATCTTCAGGCTATATATATAAAGTATATACAAAATGTAAATGAATTTCATATTTAGCCTTGGGTATCATCCTTAAAATATCTCATATGCAGATATTCCAAAATCCAGGAAAAAATTCAAGGCACTTCTGGTCCCAGCCATTTCAGATAGGGATGCACAGGCTGCCCCGAGTTTGAGACAAAGTACAGTTGCACAGTACAACAGTTAGAGACACAGCCCTGGGACTTGGCGGGGCAGAAGGTCAGACTGGAGCTCTGTATCCAGCAGTCTTCCACAAGGAGGCAAAAGCCTGGGGGGAAAAGCAGAGAGGGCAGGGCCCAGGCTGCACCTAGGGGTTCCCTCTCCGGTTGGACGCGGCTGGCAGCCTCCCACGTGGAGACTTCGACAAAGCTCATCCAAACAGAGCGCGTGTTGGCTGAGGGAATGAGCGTTTTATGGGAGAAAGAGCGGGCTTGTGTGATCTGTTTGTGTTTCTCTACACAGGCGCCAGTCTCGGAATAACCAGTGATGGGTTTTTCGAGTTGGAAGAGCTGCCCAGGTGAGCCGACGTGACCTGCCCGGTCCCTCCTGCTGCAGCCTCCTGAGGCTGTTCCCCCTCCACGCAAGCTCCTCCTGAATTCACTTCTCCCGGCTCTTTTCTTTCTTACGGCCTTGGGCATATCTCTCAGGCTTTGGCTCAGAGGCCACTGCAAACTTTTTTGAACCAAAATCCAGCCCTGGGGCAGTTTAGAAGAACTGAGAGGTGAAGCCCAAAACCGCCTTGGTTCTCAGAGCAGCGAGCGCAGAGGCTAGCAAAGGCCCCATCAGTATTGCAGAAGTGGCTGCTCCCTCGCTGTGCGTGTCACCTGCAGGCGCCCTCTGGCGTGGGTTGGGATTCGAGGAGGGAAAACAGAATGAGGACGGTGGATTCTCTGATGGAAGGTGCTGCGGTTGCAGGCTTTCCAGGCTGGAGGGTCCTCCCCTCCGCTGTCCAAAGAGAGGACCCCACCCCTAGGGACAGGAAGAGGACCCTGTGGCCTGGAGCTGGCCTGTGCCTCGCTCAACTCTGCTGCTCCCCGTCCAGTGTGAGGTCCTCATCCTGGCCTTTAGCAGAGGCCTTCAGGGCTGCTGACTCCTGACGTGCGCTTGCCGCACCCCTGGAGGCACAGGGTGGGAAGGGCGGCCTCGCACAGCCATACCACCGCACAGCCATACCACCGGTGGAGTTGTCCCATGAAGACAGAGCCGGGGTCCTCTGACTTGGGTGACGTTCACACAAAGCACGCAGTGTTTCTAGGCTTGCTGTCAGGGTACGACAGCCTCCCGTCCCTCGGGATTGCGTGGTTGTAGGGTTGATTGAGGTGACACGTGTGGGCTTGCGTCCAGAAACAGGATCCTGGGTCTTCATGTTTAGCTGACGTAACACAGCCTAGACTCGCCCTCAGAGGACGTTCCTCATAGATTTCTGCCCATTAGAGTTCTTAAATCATTTATTAAACTGGCCAGTGGCTGGTGTTGTGGTGTAGTGGATAAAGTGCTGGCATCTCATATGGGTCTCATGGGTGCCGGTTCAAGTCCCAGCTGTTCCACTTCCGATCCAGCTCTCTGCTGTGGCCTGGGAAAGCAGTGGAGGATGGCACAAGTCTTTGGGCCCCAGCACCCGCATGGGAGACCTGGAAGAAGCTCCTGGCTCCGGATAGGCGCAGCTCTGGCCATTGTGGCCAATTGGGGAGTGAACCAGTGATGGAAGACCTCTTTCTCTCTCTCTCTCTCTCCTCGCTCTGTGTAACTCTGACTTTCAAATAAATAAATAAATAAATCTTTAGAAAAAGAAAAAGCTACCACGAGGGAGCAAAGGGCTGAAGGGGGGTATCTGCATTGTCTCTGGGACTTCGGTTACGTCTGAGGTTCCAAGCTGGGCTTACGTAAGAATATGAATCTGTGCACTTCTCCAGGCGGAGCGTCGTCGTTGGAGCAGGCTACATCGCTGTGGAGATAGCAGGGATCTTCTCGGCCCTGGGTTCTAAGACGTCGCTGATGATACGGCACGATAAGGTAAACTCTGCCCTTTTCCCTTCTCTTTCCTTGAAGTTAATTTCTGAGTGGTGATCTCTCCTTACATCACCATTGCATGCCAAGGTGCAGAGCGGTCGGAGGCCAGGTGGGGTGTTCTCCACAGGCTGCGTCTGAGTTCCCTGGATGAGGGCCTGCCTCCCCTCCCAGCTGCTGAATAATGACGGTTTTTGAGGTGGTCAAACTGGCTGGTATTTTCATAGATGGTTTGCCAGGCACGCTAATAAGGAAGGAGCCACGCAGGCCTACATACAAATGTTAAACAGACTGTCGGGTTAATTTCTTAATGGTGGAGCTCAGTGCCATGTGATCAGGTAGTACTGGATTGTTAACACTCAGTCAAAACATTTCACTAATTCTTTGCATTAAAAGGAATTCTAGAGGTCAACCAGTTGAATTTTATCTTTTTAAGTTTTTTTTTTTTTTTTTATTTGAGAGGCAGAGAGAGAGAAAGACAAGAGAGAACTTCCACCTGCTGGTTCCCTCCCAAATGCCCACAGCGGCTGGGCGCTGGGCCAGGCTGCATCTGGGAACCAGAAACTCAGTCCAGGTCTCCCACGTGGGTAACAGGAACCTCATTACTTGAGCCTTCGTCTGCAGCCACCCAGGACACACACTGGCAGGAAGCTGAAATCGAGAGTGGAGCCAGGGCTCTGTCCTAGGAACTCCAGCATGTGATGTGGTTGTCCCAAGCAGCATCCTTACCGCTCCCCAAATGCCCACATGGCAGGGCAGGCCACACCAGAGCCAAGAGTCAGGTGCTCCATCGAGGTCTCCCATGTAGGTGACAGGGACCCAAGTGCGTGAGCCATCATCTGCTGCCTCCATGGGTCAAAGGGACAGTCACCTCCCCCTGGGCCTCCACTGTCATCTCTTTGTGCGCCTCTTCTCCCAAGCTTGCTTCTCTTTTCTGTAACTCTACGTGAAAAGCCAGCTTCCCACTTTTAGGACCCATTAACAGAAAGCTGCATGAGCAGAGCTGGGACTTGAACCCAGGCACTCTGATACGGGGTTGGGTGTCTCCACTAAACACCAGCCCCCAGGCTTACCTTGAATTCCATTTGCACCAACTTTTTGAAGTTCCCTGCTGTGTGTGTGGTTGATCAGGCCTCACAGGCACCATACCAGGGCTCTCAGAATCGTGGTGTGGAGCTGTACCAAGCATGCTGGCCTGTGGATCTGGGCCTGCTGCTGCCTGTCTCCAAGGAACCTGTGACCTGAGCAGGTCATTTAATGCCCGCTACAGGGACAGGGTATATCAGACCTCTGCCCACTCAAATGCTGTGGCTCTTAATTCTTTTTTTTTTTTTTTTTAAGATTTATTTATTTATTTGAAAGGTAGAGTTACAGAGAGGCAGAGGCAGAGAGAGAGGTTTTCTATCTGCTGGTTCACTCTTCAGTTGGCCACAGTTCCTCCAGGTCTCCCATGTGGGTGCAGGGGCCCAAGCACTTGGGCCATCTTCTACTGCTTTCCCAGGCCACAGCAGAGAGCTGGATTGGAAGTGGAGCAACCGGGACTCAAACCGGTGCCCATATGGGACGCCGGCACTGCAGGCTGGGACTTTACCCGCTATGCCACAGCACCGGCCCCAGTGGCTCTTAATTCTTACTTGAGTGGACAAAGGGAGACGAGAGATGCTGACAGTCCTAGTCGGTGTGCACTCCCAGGAACTTTCTCCTGGGCTTTGAAACTTGTCCTGTCATTGATGCCCGGGACATTTACATTCTGAATAGAGTTTCTTCGTAGAAAAATCCAACTTTGCATTGCTGGAATATCTCCAGCAAATGGGAAGGAAGCGAAAGGCAGCGGGCTAGCCTGCTCGAAAGTAAGGAAGTCTGATTCGTGTGTCCATACAGTGGCCAATTCCTGTAGTTGGATGGGGTGCGTCAGACTCAGCCTCCCTCTCCGTGTCCGTTCTAGACCCACTCAGTGAATAACGCACAACCTCCCACCTCCCACTTTCATTCTGTCCGGGGGTGGAGGAGAGGGTGTGTTCCCTGTGGGCTGTCCAAGACTTCGAGGCCAAACTGTTATTTCTGGCTCCATAAAGGGATGTTGCTATGGCACCTTCCCTTACGAAGCCGGCCCTTGGGTCCTAAAAGTGGGAAGCTGGCTTTTCACATAGAGTTACAGAAAAGAGAAGCAAGCTTGGGAGAAGAGGCGCGCGAAGAGATGACAGTGGAGGCCCAGGGGGAGGTGACTGTCCCTTTGACCCTAAAACAGGAGTTGGTGAAGTCAGATGTGAATAGGGGATTTCTCAAAACTCTACTCCCAATAATAAACCCTAGAGGAGGAGGTAGGAGGGCAGGTGATTCCATACTGGCATGGCCCTCCCAAACATGTGGCGAGTCTTTTATTTTTTTAAACATTTTATTTATTTATTTATTTGAAAGAGTTACAGAGGTAGAGAGAGAGAGAGGTCTTCCATCTGCTGGTTCACACTCCCCAAATGGCTGCAATGGCCAGAGCTGAGCTAGGAGCCAGGAGCTTCTTCCAAGTCTCCCACGTGGGTGCAGGGGCCCGAGTACATGGGCCATCTCTCACTGCTTTCCCAGGTGCATTAGCAGGGAGCTGCATTGCAAGTGGAGCAGCCTAAGACTTGAACTGGCACCCATATGGGAATGCTGGTGCTGCAGGCTGGGGCTTTAACCCACTGTGCCACAGCACCGGCCCCAGTGTGGCGAGTCTTTAATCAACGCTCCTTCCTTTCCCACCATCGACCTCTTGCTGCCTTTGTTTGTGCACAGGTGCTTAGAAACTTTGACTCACTGATCAGTTCCAACTGCACGGAGGAGCTGGAGAACTCGGGCGTAGAGGTGCTGAAGCACTCCCAGGTACGTGCGCCACACCCGGGCTGCTCCCGCCCTGGTCCGCCCCACTTGGCCTTACCCCATAGTTTTGGAAGCAGAGTCTTACCTACCCCAGGCAGCGCCTCCCACTTGTAAGTACCTCCACTCTTTCTTACGAAGCTGTATTTCACATTAATGTGGAAATGAAGCCAAGGGGTACAAGATTAGAAACCTGGCAGTGAGTTTAGAATGAAAACTTTGAGTTCTGTGCTCAGATGCCTTGTTGCATGACCTTATTGTTCACTTTTTTATTTATTTTAAGGAAATATAGACTCTCAAATCGGTTTTTACTTTTTCGTTTTAAATTGAATTGAGAGAGCTTCCATCTGCTAGTGCACTCTTCAAATGCCTGCAGTGGCCGGGACTGAGCCAGGCCGAAGCCAGGAGGAACATGATCCACGTCTCCAGCATGGGTGGCAGGGACCCAACCACTTGCGCCCGCCATAGCCACTACCCCTTGGGATCTGCATTAGCAGGAAGCTGGAGTCAGGAGCCGGAGCCAGGACTTGAACTATGCATGCCAATGTGGGATTCTGGCATTCTTACCACTAGGCTGAATGTGCACTCCAGATTCTATTCTTTTTTTTTTTTTTTTTTTTTTTTTAAAGATTTATTTGTGTATTTGAAAGGCAGAGTTACAGAGAGTCAGAGAGAGTCTTCATCCACTGGTTCACTCCCCAAATGGCTACATCGGCCAGAGCTGAGCTGATCCAAAGCCAGGAGCCAGGAGCTTCTTCCGGGTCTCCCACATGGGTGCAGGGGCCCAAGGACTTGGGCCATCCTCCATTGCTTTCCCAGGCCACAGCAGAGAGCTGGATCAGAAGTGGAGCAGCCGGGACTTGAACCGGCACCCATATGGGATGCCGGCACTGCAGGCAGTGGCTGTTACTTGCTACGCCACAGCGCCGGCCCCCAGAATCTATTCTGAAAGCACGCCCTGTTGAGTGTTGTGGGTGGAAAGAATTTCAGAGTATCTGACTCCTCAGGGAATGACTTGAATTTCGTAAGAATTAGTCTCCGGAAATTCCTTTCTCCCTACAACTTTGTTCATGTAAAATTAGAAATGCGAGCATGCGCTGGGAGTGCAGAGTGCTAGAGTGGTGGTGGGGGTCACGTCAGAATCACTGTGCAACCTTCACTGAACTGCACCGTCTGCACGCTGCACGCTGCACTCCTCACCCTGCCCCCACTCCACCTCACTTCCACCTGGAATGTCCAGGGAGGAGCAGTGCCTGCAGTTTGGAAAAGTTTCCTGCTGATGCTGCTACTGTGCTTACATTGATGGCAAATTTTTATCGCAGCTTTTAAGAAGTACCCTTTAAAAACACTTTGTTTTTTTTAATTTTAACTTTTATTTTTTTATTATTTTTTCTGAATTTGGAAGGAGAGAGACAGACGGACAGATCTGCTATTTACTGGTTCACTCTCCAAATGCCTGCAATAGCCAGGGTGGGGCCAGGCTGAAGCCGGGGACGTAGAACTTAATCTATGTCTTCCAGCTGGGTGGCAGGGGCCCAGTTATTAGAGCCATCAGCACTGCCATCTAGGGTTTGTATTGGCAGGAAGCTGGAGTTGGAAGGAAAGCCAGGACTCAGACCCAGGCACTCTGAAAATACTTTTTTTTTTTTTTTTTTTGATAGGCAGAGTGGACAGTGAGAGAGAGACACACAGAGAAAGGTCTTCCTTTGCCGTTGGTTCACCCTCCAATGGCCACCGCGGCCGGTGCACCACGCTGATCCGATGGCAGGAGCCAGGTACTTATCCTGGTCTCCCATGGGGTGCAGGGCCCAAGCACTTGGGCCATCCTCCACTGCACTCCTGGCCACAGCAGAGAGCTGGCCTGGAAGAGGGGCAACCGGGACAGAATCCGGCGCCCCAACCAGGACTAGAACCCGGGGTGCCGGCACCGCAAGGCGGAGGATTAGCCTAGTGAGCCGCGGCAACGGCCAAAACTTTGTTTTTAAGAGGAAGCATTAGGATGGTGACGTGAGCTGACACTGCTGGCCATCAGCAGGACGGAAGATTTGGGGCAACCCAGGAAGCAGGAACCTAGTGTCAGCCGAATATGGGCCAAAGTGTGAAGGTGTATTTCAACATACAGGATTCAGTGGGGATTTTTTTCAGTGTTTTAAGTTCAATTTTCCTGTGCACTCCTTACCCAACACACATTTACAACAGTTTATTTACCAACAGGTTAAGGAAGTTAAACAGACTTCATCGGGCTTGGAAGTCTGCATGGTCACTGCGGCTCCTGGTAGGAAACCCACCTTCACCACAATTCCAAATGTTGACTGCCTGCTCTGGGCCATCGGGCGGGACCCAAATTCCAGCGGCCTGAATTTGAACAATGTGGTAAGCTGACCAAAACCTTCTTGAATCTGTCTGCCCTGTGATCACCCAAAACTTGGATGGGTTCTGTTGGATTCTTTCTTTTTTTAAAAAATTTATTTATTTACTTATTTGAAAGAGTTACACAGAGAGAGGAGAGGCGGGGGGTGGGGGTGGGGGTGGGGGAGTCCTCCTTCCGCTGGTTCACTCCCCAATTGATAGCAATAGCCGGAGCTGTGCTGATCTGAAGCCAGGAGCCAGGAGCTTCTTCCAGGTCTCCCACGAGGGTGCAGGGACTCAAGGACTTGGGTCATCTTCTACTGCTTTCCCAGGCCATAGCAGGGAGCTGAATTAGAAGTGGAGCAGTCAGGACTCGAACCGGCACCCATCTGGAATGCCGGCACCGCAGGAGGTGGCTTTACCCGCTACGTCACAGCGCCGGCCACTCTGTTGGATCCTTTTTCTCCTTATTCCCTGTGTCCAGTTTGTCACCAAATCCCGTCACCTCTTCCTTTAAAATTAAAAAACAGATCCTTTGCCCTTTCTGGCGCCCTCGTCCTGGATCAGATCCCTGCCACGTCTGATCTACTTAGCAGTGGTTTCCTGCCTGGCTCCTTCTCTCAGACTTCCCTTTTGCTCTATGGATGTCTCTTTGAAGTCCTGCACTGATTCCGTCTTGTTCAGGTGTCCAGTCCAGGTTGCTGTGTGTGTGACTGGTTCTGGACAAGGTGATGCTGGAGACACTCGGAGAGCTGCCCCTCCCTCGGCTGCACCTGTCTTGCACATGCAGACGGTTATCATTCTTTTTGTTCAGTCTTGAAATGCAGTCCATTATGGCAGCCTGGGCCGTGGTTCCCAGAGTTTGACCCAAGTATGAACCTTACTTCCATTACCTGCCAGATGGAATGGCATTGAGCAAGCAACTTCATTTCTTTACGTTTCCATTGCTTCATAGATGAGAAAATAAAAATAATAAATGAGAAAGTGAATGCAAAGTAATTAGCGTAGACCTTGGCTTATAGTATGGGCACAAAAAATATTAACTCAGTGCTGATGGTGATGACAATGGTTTCTCTGATACAAATCTTTTCTGTGAGTAATAATGGGATATTTTATGTTGGTGGTTGATATATTTGATGGAGTGTGCAGCTGTTCAGTTTATGTCCTCGTAATTTCTGTTGTAATGTGGATACTTTTTTCATTTTTATAACAGATGGTTTTTCATCATTTTAAAGAGTAAAATACCTAGGGAGGTATTTGGCTTTTTTTAATCTTATGGTTCAATGAAAGTTATTAAAACCAGGTGTCTATTTTCATGTTCACCAGTCATTCAGCTTCTCGGCTTTCAGTACCTGTTTTGCCGTTGTGCACATACAGACATTGGTAGGTCTAGACTTTAACTGTACATGCTGCATTGTTAAAGAATGAGGCAAAAGGTGTTCCCAGCCTCATTCAATGCATAACGGAGACTGAATGATTGCCACGTGCTTGGCCTGCCGACATGTCACTGATGTTGTTTAACATTGCCAATGACTCCGTGAGGCTTAGGATGGGGAAACCAAGAGCACGAGGACCTCAGGGCCTTCAGCAGGCCGGAAACCGTGGGTAGGGAGGACGTGTGTCCATCTTCCCGCTGTGTTGCAGTGATTAAATTAAGCTTTGTGATAGAAGCTCAGATACTTGTTGATAAATAGTAGTTATACAAGGTCTCATAGCCAGTATATGGCAGAGCTGGGGTTTGAACTCTGATCTCTTTGGCTCCAAAGGTTGTACTCTTTTCTTCTTTAAAGTTAATTCATTAATTTTCATTTATGTGCAAGGCAGAGAAAGAGTGAAAAAGATCTATTTGGGGCCAGCGCTGTGGCGCACTTGGTTAATCCTCCACCTGCAGCACCGACATCCCATAAGGGCACCGGATTCTAGTCCCGGTTGCTCCTCTTCCAGGCCAGCTCTCTGCTGTGGCCTGGGAAGGCAGTGGAGGATGGCACAAGTGCTTGGGCTCCTGCACCCCATGGGAGACCAGGAGGAGGCACCTGGCTCCTGGCTTCGGATCAGCGCAGCTCCAGCTGTTGTGGTCATTTGTGGGGGTGAACCAACGGAAAAAGGAAGACCTTTCTCTCTGTCTCTCTTTCACTGTCTGTAACTCTACCTGTCAAATAAATAAATAAAAATCTTTAAAAAAAAAAAAAAAGATCTTCTGTCCACTGATTCACTCCCCAAATGCCCAGAATAGCCAGAGCTGGGCCAGGTTGGCCAGGAGCTTGGAACTCCCTCCAAATGCCTCATGTGGGTAACAGGGACTGAGCACCAAGCCGTCACCTGCTGCCCCTCAGGAGGCTGGACCAGAAGCAGGAGCCAGGACTCAAAGCAGGGATGCAGGTATCCGAGTGGTAACTTACCCGCTGTGCCAGATGCCTGCCTCCAAAAGTTGTGCCCTTACCAGTATGCCATCCACTTCCTCCCTCTGCTCTGCCTCTACTTCTCACACTGCAGTATGGCTGCTTGGGCTCTGCAAAGCCACAAATTGAAAACGACACAGCTGAGCACAATTTGATTAAATGTATAAAAACAAACATTGGTGAAGTGGTAAACAGTATGTTTTAGAGTTGGGTGCACAATTTGCTTGAAAAATTTTTTTTTTTTTTTTTTTTTTGACAGGCAGAGTGGACAGTGAGAGAGAGAGACAGAGAGAAAGGTCTTCCTTTGCCGTTGGTTCACCCTCCAATGGCCGCCATCGCTGGCGCACTGCGGCCGGCGCACCGCGCTGATCCTCAGGCAGGAGTCAGGTGCTTCTCCTGGTCTCCCATGGGGTGCAGGGCCCAAGCACTTGGGCCATCCTCCACTGCACTCCCTGGCCACAGCAGAGAGCTGGCCTGGAAGAGGGGCAACTGGGACAGAATCCGGTGCCCTGACCGGGACTAGAACCCAGTGTGCCGGCACCGCAAGGCGGAGGATTAGCCTAGTGAGCCGCGGCGCCGGCCAATTTGCTTGAATTTTTTAAGATAAAAGGGCAAGCTTCCAAAGCCCATGCTTTTGGTGACTGTGTCAGGAGAGTCTCTAGGGGCAACAGTTGGGAAGCCCTGTCTTAGCTGGGTTCCACGGGGAGAGCAAGCAGCACACTGGATAGTCGGGTGATACCTGGCCAGGTGAGTTGTACACTGCAGTGTTAAATCCTGCTAAAGCACCTCCGGGTTGGCTGTGTATTCACCTTTTCCGTCATCAACAGGTAGGAAACTTGCCAGCTTGAACATTTCTCGTGTTGGGGTTGAGTCTTGGGTATTCAGGCTGAGTGGGTGCTGGTGTAAACAGAGACAGGCCTAGAAGTCTGCTCTGCCATTTTTAGTTGACGGGCTAAGGATTTGTGTGGCTTCGTTCTGCATTTTCAGGGAATCAAAACTGATGACAAAGGGCACGTTGTAGTCGATGAGTTCCAGAATACCAACGTAAAAGGCATCTACGCAGTCGGGGATGTGTGTGGGAAAGCTCTTCTTACGCCAGGTAACGTGTCCCCACTTTCTTGGTTAAGAGGGGTCCTGTGTGCTCCCTAGAGCTGGGGGGCTCTTCACGGTCGGATCACCTGGGCAAAGCTCTAAGGATGTGAGCTGGAGGTCGTCAGAATGGTAGAACTGCCGCAGAGGAGATGCAGGTTAGATACCTGCCACTCCGCAGTAACACCTGAAATGCTTTCCAAAGACTTAACATTTGCATCCCGGTGACATGAGCCCCCTCTGACCACGCTCTAAGTTAGTACCAGGGTTGTGTGTGGTGACAGTGGAAGGGAGGTAAGGAGGTTTTGGACAGGGCAGCTTAGATCGGCATTGGGTGACAGCTTGGTTTTGATGCCGCCAGCATTGGCTCTGCATCCCCCCATCCCATGCTGCGGCCCACTTCCTGAGTTAACCACACCACTGCCACTCTGTGTCCCACCTCCATCCTTTAGTGATGTCATATCAACTGCTCTCCCAAAGTCTTTTAGCTCCTCTAGGAAGCTCTCTCTATAAATATTTTAAAATGTATTTATTCGTTTTTAAAAGCTTTACTTATTTATTTGAAAGGCAGACTTACAGAGTAGGAGAGGGAGAGACAGAAGGAAATCTTGCATCCATTGGTTCACTCCCCAAATGGCCACAGTGGCTGGAGCTGGGCCAGGCTGAAGCCAGGAGCTTCTCCTGGGTCTTCCATGTGGGTGCAGAGGCCCAAGAACTTGGGTCATCCTCTTCCTGGTGCTTTCCCTGGCACATGAGCAGGGAGCTGGATCAAAAGTGAAGTAGCAGTAACTCGAACAAGCACCCATGTGGTGCTATGCCACAATGGCAGTTCCAAGGGTAATTTTTTTTTTTTTTTAAGATTTATTTATCTTAAAGGCAGAGTTACACAGAGACAGGTATAGACAAGAAAGACCATCTTCCATTTTCTGGTTCACTCTCCAAATGGCCACAGAGGTCAGGGCTGGGCCAGGCCAAAGCTCTGACTCCCTCTGGGAAACCCACATGGGTGCAGGGGCCCAAGCACTTGAGCCATCTTCCGTTGCTTTCCCCAGGCACAATAGCAGGGAGCTGGAGTGGAAGTGGAGCAGCCAGGACTTTAATCAGTGCTCCCATATGGGATACTGGCATTGCAGGCAATGACTTAACCCACTGTGCCACAATGCTGGGTCCAGAAGAATACATTTTTGAGTAAAAAATAAAGTAATGGAAAAATGAATAGGGTTATAAAGTAGAACTGAAGATGTTTGAAACTGTTATAGTTTGTTCCATAAAAGTGGTATCCAAATGTTAGTATCCTCATTAAGTAGATTAACTGTCAAATGACTAAGCACCTGTGAATGTATGTCTTTTTTTTTTTCTTTCCTTTTTTTGAGTCATACTGCAATGTTATAGAATTCACATCAGCCAATAGTTTCAAATTGTTCGCTAATGCATTGTTATCTCTCTTCATTATGTTGTATTTAACACTACCATGAGAATGAACATAAAACTTGATCAGAATTAGTTTTTATGTCAGGACAACTCTGCGCTGAAATGAACTTTAAGATAAACACTGATTGTGCAATCTCTTTGTAGTTGCAATAGCTGCTGGCCGCAAACTTGCCCACAGACTTTTTGAATGTAAAAAAGATTCCAAGTTAGACTACGACAACATCCCCACCGTGGTCTTCAGCCACCCTCCTATTGGGACAGTGGGACTCACGGAAGGTAGGTATTTAAAACTGAAAGTTGTTTAAAATTTTTCCATGTATGTATTTGAAGGGCAGAGAAAGATCTTCCATTCACTGGTTCACTCCCTGAATGCCCACAACTGCCGGGCTGAAGCCAAGAGCCCAGAACTCCATGTGAGTTTCCCATGTAGGCAGCAGGGACCCGAGCACCTGAGCCATCATCTGCTGCCCCCTAGGGTGTGCTTCTGCAGGCTGAGTGGGAAGCAGAGGAGCTGGGACCCGACCCAGGCACTCTGATCCGGGTGCTGGCATCCCCGGCAGCGTCGTAACCACTGTGCCAGACACTCAACCCTGAAGGTCATTTTTAAAAAGTTTCAAAAATACTACAACAGACCCCTGGATACCCTTACCATTTTTCTTTTATGATTTGCTCACTGCACAAGCAAACTCACCCCTACATAGCCACTCCTTAACTATGTATTTCCTAAGAGCAGAGTTAATCTCTTACAGAAACACAGGATGGTTTTCAAAATGAAAACACTTCAACTGTTACAGCATTGTCTAAACCTTATGCAAACTTTGCCAAATGTCTCAAATAATGGGATTTTTTTTTTTTTTAACATTTCCCTGCAAATCCAGAATGGAATCCAGGATAATGTATTACATTTAGTTCTCATACCTCTTTGGTGTCCTTTAATCTAAAGACAGAATTCCTTGGCCTTTCTTTGTCTTCAGTGACATAGACATTTATTTGATAGAATGGCCCTCATTTGGGTATTGTTTGATATTTCCTTGTGATTTGAGTCTGGTCATCTCTTCTTTTTGATGGCTTGGTGTTGTTTTGATGTGTTTTTGTTTTTGTTTTTGTTTTTGTTTTTTTGTTTTTTAATGTACACTATAGATGAAGCCATTTATAAATACGGAAAAGAAAACGTGAAGACCTACTCAACCTCCTTTACCCCGATGTATCATGCGGTTACCACCAGGAAAACAAAATGCGTGATGAAGATGGTGTGTGCCAACCGAGAGGAGAAGGTAAGGAGACGCTTCCCAGGGTGTGTGTTAGCAGGAAGCTGGAACCAAGAGTGAAGTCAGAAGATTAACCCAGGCCCTGCGGTATGGGAGCCACTTATCCCCCCAGTGTCTTAACCGCTACACCAAAGGTGTGCTTCTCTCTTATTTTTTAAAACCAATCTATTCAGCTTTATTTTTGATTCTAGAATCAGTGCTTTATTCAATAAAATAGAGTGGTCCCCACAGGCTGAGGAGAGAGGGTTTATTTATACAGAGAACAACTGAAGAAAGCAGAGATAAAAGAAAAAGAAGTGTGGTTGCTTCTTGTAAGGTGGGAGACCGACCAATTGGAAAATAACTGATTAGTTAATATCAGGTGATTTTCGATTACTTCTATGTATAAGGATTAAACCAGAGGGGATTTGTTATTATGCCAATTGAACCTGGCCTGGAACCTTGAGAGGCAGAGAGATACAAGAGACAGTGAGAGCAGCTCCCATCTTCTGGTTCACTCCCTAAATGCTCAGGATAGCTGAGGCTGGGCCAAAGCCAAGAGCCAGGAATTCAATCCATATCTCCCACATAGGTGCCAAGAGCTCCGTGGCTTGAGCCATCATTCCTGCTTTCTGGGGCCTGCATTAGCAGGAAGCCAGTCAGGAGCCAGAGTTCAAGCCTCAAGTCAAATCAGACACCCCAGGATGGCATGTGGGTGTCTTAACCACAAGACCAAATGCCCACTCCTTGACCATTGCTAAATTAACTATTTTTAAACAAATAATTTTTCTGACTTTGTTTTATATATCTTACAAATCTTCATCTTATCTCCCCACGGGTGGCTGGCAAAAGGGGCTGACCAGCATCCACAGCTGTATTCTCTAACTTTGCTTCTCACTGGTATATCTACCCTAACTGTGTTTGTGGAAGGCACACATCAGCAGTTGTAAGGTTTGTTGCAAAGCCTTGCTGAAGAATGTGACTTGAAACAAACGCCTCTTGACCATCGTTCGTGTAGGCAGCCAGCATGCGTGCCTGCTGAGTGCTGGTCTTTGTGCTTGGCCATGGGAGTAGGGTAAGGAGGAGAGGCAGAACTGGTGCTCCGTGTAAAAGAGGGACCCCTGGGGCCGGTGCTGTGGCATAGCAGGTAAAGCTGCCGCCGGCATTGCCAGCATCCCATATGAGCACCAGTTCCCGTCCTGGCTGCTCCTCTTCTGATTCAGCTCTCTGCTGTGGCCTGGGAAAGCAGTGGAAGATGGCCCAAGTCCTTGGGCTCCTGCATCCACATGGAAGACCTGGAGGAGACCTGGCTTCAGGTTGGCACAGCTCCAGATGTTGCGGCCACTGGGGAATGAACCAGTAGATGGAAGACCTCTGTCTCTCTCTGCCTCTGCCTCTCTGTAACTCTGCCTTTCAAATGAATAAATAAAAAAAATAAAAAAAAAAAAGAGGGGTCCCTCCCAGAGATGTAACAGTACAGTTCTGATGGAATGGTAGACCGATGAAGGAGAAATAAATACCAATACCGAGGCATCACGTGATGGAGGATTTAACTTGGTCGGGAAAGCACAGCTGTGTGAGCATATGAATAATGAACAGGCTTCAGAGGGAGAGGGGGAGAGTGGGTGGGAGGGCTTCTGAGCCAGGAGAGCCGGAGGGGGGCCATCCAGGCCAGATTCTGTGCTGGGCTGTGTAGCTATGTTAGGCCATATTTTGGATTCACAACATAAGGTCTTTTTAGGGGCTTTTTAAAAATATTTACTTATTTATTTGAAAGTCAGAGTTACACAGAGAGAGAAGGAGAGGCAGAGAGAGAGAGGTCTTCCATCTGCTGGTTCACTCCCCAGTTGGCCACAACGGCTGGAGCTACGCCGATCAGGAGCCAGGAGCTTCCTCTGGGTCTCCCACATGGGTGCAGGGGCCCAAGGACATGGGCCATCTTCTACTGCTTTCCCAGGCCACAGCAGAGAGCTGGATCAGAAATGGAGCAGCCAGGACTCTAACCAGCGCCCATATAGGATGCCGGTACTGCAGGCGGCGGCTTTACCTGCTACGACACAGCGCCGGTCCCTTTAGGGGCTTTTAAAATGTCACATATTGCTCATCACTGTCTATGTAATTAAACATTTCACATTTCAAATTGTTCTCTTTTTGCCCAGGTGGTTGGGATCCACATGCAGGGAATCGGGTGTGATGAAATGCTGCAGGGCTTTGCCGTTGCGGTCAAAATGGGAGCAACAAAGGCGGACTTTGACAACACGGTGGCCATTCACCCTACCTCTGCAGAAGAGCTGGTCACCCTGCGCTGAGCAGCCAGAGACGGGGGTGGCCAGTGGCCAGACCCGTGGGCCTTCCGCAAGGAACCAAATCATCACGTTTACTGACTCTTCCCGTTTGGTGTATGTCTTTGTTTTTAATCAGCATCCTCTGATAGTGGAATTTTTTTTTTTTTTTTTTTTTTTTTTTTTTGTTAAGCAGTAGAATCTATTTATGTAATCAGAAATGTATTGTGTTATCCAGGATTGGTTTTCATGTGATCATATCTCACAGTCATTAACAGTTTCACGTTTTTATTGATAGCCCTGTGCTGGATTGTTGTTTTGTTTTGTTTTGTTTCAGCCTCTTCCCAGGTTTAAAAACTATATGAAGTACAATCAATTGAATGTTCTTGAATGAATATAACTTGCTAATTTTCTAGGGGGAGATGATTCCACTTCCTGTGTAAGTAATGCAAGCGCACAGAATCTTTGTATAATTTTGAAGCCAGTACTGTGTTCTGCATATTGCAAGGCTGCTTCCGGGGTGTGACCTCTCTAAAAGCACATAACACGAGGGCTACCACCCTTATTTTATTCTTCCTTTTGTTTTACGTGATTAAAATGGTGTGTATTCTTTTTAGGAGATGAAGTGCATCAAACCTGGGAAAGATTTAAGGAGCTGGTTATACATATGGGGGGTGTTTTAGAAGTGGTTCTTGTTCTCAGAAGGTGGTGGATTCAAAAATCCTTTTCTCTGCTAAGAGTTCAGAATGAGTAATTGCAGTATTTTTATGTATCCTTGTTGTTCTATTCTTCTCTGAAAATGATTCCAAACATTTGCAAATAAAATCACAGCCTTTTCTTCCTATAAAATTTGTATGAACTTAATTGGTACCAGTATATTTTCTAAGAATATTTCACAAGGATCAGATGCCAACACATATGGGCAAAGAAAGAGGCTTCTCTTTTAAAAATAGAGACAGAACTGGAAAAGAAACATTTAGCAGATTTGTCACAGAGCTGAGAGAACAGACCAGAATTCTCTTAGCTTTTTAGCATTGTATTTCCAATAGCCTTTACCACTGAGGTAAGCTGGTTAGGGGATTTTTCCATGATTTTCATTAGTGATACAGTGTTACTGGATTCTTTCATTAAGCTTTAAAAAAAAAAAAAAGATTTATTTATTTATTTGAAAGTCAGAGTTACACAGAGAGAAGGAAATGCAGACAGAGAGAGGTCTTCCATCCGCTGGTTCACTCCCCAAATGGTCACAATGTCTGGAGCTGTGCCTATCTGAAGCCAGGAGCCAGGAGCTTCTTCCGGGTCTCCCACGCGGGTGCAGGGGCCCAAGGACATGGGCCGTCTTCTGTTGCTTTCCCAGGCCATAGCAGAGAGCTGGATCGAAAGTGGAGTAGCCGGGTCTCAAACTGGTGCCCATATGGGATGCCGACACTGCAGGTGGCGGCTTTACCTGCTACAGCCCAGTGCAGGCCCCTTTCATTAAGCTTTTCAGAATTTCCGACTGGTCGTGGGCAGTTGTTTCACTGGCTTCAAAGTAGGCGCAATGCCAATGAAAGAAAAATATCAAGTTAGTAACCAGGAAATGGGATCCCCAAACCTGGATATAGACTGAGCGAGCCATTCCCTTCTTTCCCCATGAGCCCAAAAGTCAGTGGAGCGAGGTTTCGGGGTCCACTGTCCTGCTCAGTTTCTCACTCCGCACAGGCCCCAAACTTGAGTGGTGCCTTTGTCAGGATAAGGGGAGACCCCTGTAATCACTCATCACCACATGTGAATGTGTTGAAAGAACATGCCGTTCTTTTTAAAAATTTTTTATTTATTTTATTTGCAAGATAGAGAAAGAGATCTCCCACATGTTGGTTCACTCCCCAGATGCTCGCAAGAGGCAGTGCTGGGCCAGGCCTAAGCCAGGAAGGAGTCTGGAACCCAATCCAAGTTTCATGCATGGGTGGGTGGCAAGGACCCAACGTTAGCCATCGGCTGCTGTCTCCCAGGGTGTGCACCCAGCAGGAAGCCGGAATGGAGAACAGAAGCAGGACTCAAAGCGAGGTACTCAGTGTGGAATGCAGGCATCCCAAGTGGCGGCTGAGCTGCCTGTCCCACTATGCATTCCTGATCTCATGTAGTCTTTGTGCTGCCTCAATACTGATTCACCCACCTGAGTTCCACTCTGCAGTCTCACTAGTCAAATTGGCCAGCCCTTCAACTGCTATGGCCTAACAGCCTCCCATACCTAAGGCACAGGGGAATATAAAGCTAAACAAAGCAGCACACTGTATGTTGTACATACATACATGTAGCACATGGCACATTGTAGGTGTTCAATGGGTGTTTATTGAAGGAAAGATGACTTTCAAGTAACCTTATAGTCTAGAATGAGAGAAGAGATGTCTATACAAATGAGGCAGTGAGGCACAAGATTGAACATATGAGTTATTAACCAGAATGGGACATTTTTTATTTTTTGGACAGGCAGAGTAGACAGTGAGAGAGAGAGAGACAGAGAGAAAGGTCTTCCTTTTGCCGTTGGTTCACCCTCCAATGGCTGCCGTGGCTGGCGTGCGCTGCGGCCAGCGCACCACGCTGATCTGAAGCCAGTAACCAGGTGCTTTTCCTGGTCTCCCATGGGGTGCAGGGCCCAAGCACTTGGGCCATCCTCCACTGCACTCCCGGGCCACAGCAGAGAGCTGGCCTGGAAGAGGGGCAACCGGGACAGAATCCGGCACCCTGACCGGGACTAGAACCCGGTGTGCCGGCGCCGCTAGGCGGAGGATTAGCCTAGTGAGCCACGGCACCGGCCCAGAATGGGACATTTTCAACAGTGAAATGGGACACTATTCATAACTGAGACAATCGACACAGTTAGTGCTTGTCCCATTTCCAGGGATGTGGAAGTGTGCAAGTTCAGTGGAGGTGGACGTCCCCTTTCCTTGGGGAGACCTGGGGAGCATGCAGGATGTGAGAGCTGTGGAGGACGTCTGAGCAGCCAGGAAGCACCGTGAAGCCAGGATTGGGCAAATTACTGTTTTATTACACAACAAACTACAATTTTCTGAAGTCTTATGATTTTGTGGGTCAGATGAGGCAAGGCTCAGCTGGCTGATTCTTATTGTTGGCGTCAACAGAAATGAGCTGATCTAGAGAGTTTAAAAATCATACTTTAAAAAAGAAAATATTATTTAGTTATTTGAAGGGCAGAGTTACAGAGAGTTGGAGAGACAGAAATATCTTCTGTCTACTGGTTCATTCCCCAAATGGCTGCAACGACCAGGCTGGGCCAGGCCAAAGCCAGGAGCTTCATCTTGATCTCCCATGAGGGTGATAGGGGCCCAAGCACTTGAGCCTTTGTTTTTCTTTTCTCTTCTTTTCTTTTTTTTTTTTTTTTTTTGACAGGCAAAGTTAGACAGAGAGAGGCAAAGAGAAAGGTCTTCCTTCCGTTGGTTCACCCCCCAAATGGCCACCATGGCCAGCACGTTGCGCCAATCCAAAGCCAGGACCCACGTGCTTCCTCCTGGTCTCCCATGCGGGTGCAGGGCCCAAGCACTTGGGCCATCCCCCACTGCCTTCCCGGGTCACAGCAGAGAGCTGGACTGGAAGAGGAGCAACCAGGATAGAACCGGCACCCCAACCAGGACTAGAACACCGGTGTGCCGGTGCCGCAGGTGGAGGATTAGCCTAGTGAGCTGCGGCGCCGGCCCACTTGAGCCATCCTATGGTGCTTTCCCAGGCACATTAGCAGAGAGCTGGATCGGGAGCAGCCAAGGACATGAACCAGTGCCCATATGGGATGCCGGCATCACAGGCATAGGCCCCCATTCCTACTTTGAAGTCTGGCAGGTTGGGATGAGACAAGGATGGGACTGTTGACCAGTGTGGCCTTAGCAGTGTGGTAGTTTCATAGTAATGGCCTTTTACGTGGAGGCTCTGGGCTGCCAGAGAGTGTTCTAAGAATGCCAGGCAGATGCCACGCCTTATGACCTCGCCATGAAAATTCTACCTAGAACATCACTTCTGCCGCTTGTCAGCAAGGCTGCCTCAGATTCAAGAGGGAGTGAGTTAAACTTCATCTGTCATGGGAAGGAGGGTAAAGAATTTGCAAACATCCTTAATCACCCGTGTCTGGCAATCCCATTTTACAAAGCTTGACTGAAACGTCACCTTTGTGACTACTTAATAGTTTTGTGTATTAAATTGTGTGTTCCTGGGGCCAGTGGTGTGGCATAGCGGGTAAAGCCCCCACCTGCAATGCCAGCATCCCATACGGGTGCTGGTTCAAGTCCCGGCTGCTCCACTTCTGATCCAGCTCTCTGCTATGGCCTGGGAAAGCAGTGGAAGATGGCCCAAGTGCTTGGGCCCCTGCACCCACGTGGGAGACCCAGAAGAAGCTCCTGGCTCCTGGCTTTGGATCAGCACAGCTCCAACCATGTGGCCATCAGGGGAATGAACCAGCAGATGGAAGACCTCTGTCTCTCTCTCTGCCTCTGCCTCTCTGTAACTCTGCCTTTCAAATAAATAAATAAATATTTAAGAAAGAAAAAGGAAAACAGTGGGGAAACTGTCTAAAAGAAAAGAAAAGCAGAGCAATTGTGAAGGAGGGAGAGGGAGAGGCAGATACAGAGAGAGAGACAAAGAGAAATCTTCTGTCTGCTGGTTCACTCCCCAAATGACCGCAACAGCTGGGTCTGGGCCAGGCCAAAGTCAAGAGCCAAGAAATCCATCTGGGTGTCCCACATGAGTGGCAAGGTTCAGACCCAGACTTGAGCCATCTGGTGCTGCTTTTCCAGGTGTGTTGGGAGGATTAGCAGGAAGTTGGATCAGAAGTAGAGCAGCTGGGACTTGAACTAGCACTCAGATATGGGAGGCTGGTGTCACAGGTTGTGGCTTAACCCCCGGTGCCACAATACCGGCCCCCTGAATGAGGATTCGCTAATGTGCATTTCCTTCATAAGGCACACTGCGCCTTCTTGCGCTTAGGAACACTAGACAACATTCAGCTCTCCATTTGGGGGCCATGTTACATGGTGAAATAACCAAGAAAAGGCACAAAAATGGGAAAAAATGCACTAGGTAGGCCATGAAAGGGATGCTGACAGAATGAGACTAAAACAAGAAAGCAGAAGGACACACAGAGGGCCTCAAGCTTTTTACCCTGCTGCCCTTGCCTGCAAACAACTGAGCAGGTGCTGCAGGTCCTGATCTGGAGGTTACAAGTCAACTTTAGCAGGTAGGTGACTTGGCAAACATGCACTCTGCAAACAAGGACAACAGACTGTACAAGTATTTGATACACTGAAAGAGGGCTTCTGGGGCCAGAGTTGGGGCACAGTGGGTTAAGGTGCTGCCTGTGACACGAGCATCCCATATGGGCGCTGGGTCAAGTCCTGGTTGCTCCACTTCTGATCCAGCTCCCTGCTAATGTACCTGGAGAAGTAGTGGAAGATGACCCAAGTCCTTGGGTCCCTGCTACCCACGTGGGAGACCTGGAAGAAGCTCCTGGCTCCTGGCTTCAGATCGGCCCAGCTCCGGCCATTGGAGCCACCTGGGGAGTGAACCAGCAGATGGAAGACCTCTTTCTCTCTCTCTCTCTGCCTCTGCCTCTCTGTAACTATGCTTTCAAATAAATATATCTTTTTTAAAAAATTGGATTATAAAAATATTAAAGTTTTTCTATAGGAGTAACAATAAAATTAAAGACAAACATTTTGTGATATGTGTGCATCTGACAGACAAAACTAACTTCTCTGTATAAAGTCTTTACAAATCATTAACTAAAATGCTGTCTTCCCCATAGGAAGGGAAATAAACAAGGTAGCAACCAGTGATTCACAGAAAAAATAGCTCAAACTCACTGA